CTCTCAGTCTGAATGAGTTTATTTCTTTTGTGTCTCTGAAACAAGGTGAAGATGTCCTACAGTAGAGTGTGAGTTGTGACAATGAGATATCGAGGAAGTCATTTGAGATAACAGGGGGATTTCACAATGAGCCGATAAGATGATTGTCCCTTATTAATGATTTGGACACCTGCAAAGTTTTTTTGAATGAATAGGAACTGATTATTGTTTCCAATTGTGGGCTTAAAGAATGGTAGCCATGACAGTAGGAAAAAAATGAATAAGATAGAGGAAAACCCGGGAGGCCAGAGCACTGTGAACCAATGGCCTTGAAAATTACCTCCAAAGCCAATGGATTGAGTTGCATCAGTAAAAGGCTAAAGGTATTCTGGAAATAATAAAAATCTCATCATAGAAGAAAGTTAAATCTAGAATTTGAGAAATAAATATTTGGCCTTGCAGAATGATTTGCATGGCATCTTTGAGATACTCTAACAAAGACAACAGGAGTTATTTTCATGCAAAACATACAATCATTGTACCAGTGGGATGATACAGCAAACAGAAAAAAGGGGTGAATCAAAGGGGTCGGTCATTCAGCCAGAAGCAAGAAATCTACAGACATGGTGTCAGAAATTAAAGGTAGTTGACTGCAAAGTTTTGTAGGTAAAAGGAGTGAACAAACCTATTGAGTGGCCATCAAGTAAAACACGAGTGAAACTGACATCTGGGTGGTGGAGTAATTCGGAATCCAGTAGGGAATATCATTCAGGGAGGAGACTGAACCAGCAGTCTTTTGAGAGTATGTAAGGTAAAGTGGGGTCAAGTAAGTGTGATGGGGGCACACAGAGCAGGCAAGATCTTCACCACAGCAGCTTCAAGTTAAAAGGAAATGGCAAGAAGAAGAGAAGATTGATTAATTGAAGTTTTAGACTTGTCGACCTCCAATTACCAAAATTGCTGTGAGAATCTTTAGAACAACAATGTTTAGTGAAGACCTTCTACTGAGATTAACAGAAGGAAACAGCAGGGATGAAGAAGAAGAGGAGAGAGGCACACAGCCGACCTGGGTGACACCTGGAGGGCACAAGTAAAAAGCAGTAAAAATATCAATATCCACAACTCTACAGTAGAGACATTGGTTCCAGTGGAGCAAACAAGCTACATATTTTCAAGCCCATGGTATCTTGGAAAATACTTAGACATTACAAAATTCAGAAATTGTGAGAAAAGAAAGTGGGTTCATAGAAGATTTACAGTAAGTGACAGAAATAGCACTGCAGGCAGTAGTTCTATTTTGAAAAGAATCAATAAATTAAGAGAGGAGGTGGGCAAGACTGAACAAATCTATACCTTCTAAGATTTACTGTCTGAGGGAGAGGGAAAAGGGAGACAGATTAAACATTAAGGGATTGCGAGGGACAGGGAAAAGGAGAAATCCTTGATGAAAGGTGTTGAAACAGAAGGTCCAGACAGAGGCTTTTCTTTGTCGTGTATACCAGAGCAGGGAATTGTGAAACCAGTGGTAAGAATAATAGGTATGGAATGGAGGAGAAATGAAAATTTGAATGAGAAATAGATGAGATAGGGGTACGAAATGCAGACTCATGTTGAACTATTTGGGATGTCAGGGGACAGGAGAGAGAGAATACTGTAGATTTACTGAGTTGGAGGAAGGAAACTGGATTTACCTTTCACTGAGGAAATGGCATCAGGCACAGAGGGTTCTGTAAGATTGGAATCCAGAGAAGTAGACACTGAATTTGTTGGAATTCAGCATGATGGGATAATGGGGACAATGATCAATTAATAGTTTTAAGACAGATTAAAAATTAAACAATAAATTTAGGAATGAACAGTAGATTCAATTAACTTGCTGCCTGAAAGCAGGTGGTTAGGAATTTGGTAGAGCTTGAGGATTTTGAGCAAAAATAAATTTTAGAATGGACTTTAAGGGTTAGGGTTAGATTATTGTACTTACAGTACATACAGTACAAGGTGTGAGTAGTCAACAGTTAACATTCAAGGTGATGACTGTGGCCTTCTCATTCAGCCAATGCCCAGGCTTCACCCAATGGGAATCAGAGCCTTCTCATGTCCAGCACCTTATTTGTGGAACCTATTGCTCTAGGACAATCCATTTTCAAAATGCACCCATACTATAGTTCTATCTTTTTGGTACAGCTTTTATAATGTACAATAAGTTAGTATTACTTGTTATTTCATTACGTCTTTGTTTCTGTTGCATACTGTGCTGTTTGCCTACAGTAGCTGCAAACACCAGATGGGCAAAGAGGTGGATAAGAACAAAAGGGGTTCCTGGAAGTTTGCTCTGGTTGACCATAATAAAGGATAGTCAATTGCCATGAATGCAGAGATATGGAAAATAAGGAGAGAGAAAAACAGAGGAAAGAAAGAATGACACAATCATTTTTTTCTTCCTCAGACCTTGTATGATAAAGACCTGATTCTGATACATTATTTTAGTGAATTTTGATTTCCTTTATGTGGAATACACAAAATAAAACTATTCTCTTCTAATTTGGTGATATTTTACAGACTAGGGAAATTGATTCCCATGGACATTTGGCCTCCATGTTGTAGGAAAAAGAGATTTAGTTGTTAGTAGTATTCATTTAATAGGATGCAAAGTTTTTTTTTTCTTTTTTTGATTGTTGACAAGTTAAGAATACTGGATTTTCTGGGTCTTTAGAATGTAAGCCTCTGAAATGCATTGATAGTATAGTGAATGAAGTTCATACTGTATACAAAATGTAGCATACAATAACTAGCAAATGTCATGTAACACAGTGTGTTTTATAGATTGTGCTATTTATTGTTAAGAAATATTTTCATTGTTCAAGTTTTTATTTTATTATTCTATAAGCAGAACTGGGGCAGATAATGAAAAGAACTCTCATGCCACTTTTTCATATGCCTCAGTACCGCCTTATACCTGAGTCATTTACTGACCCTGCTATTGTTTACAGCAATATATCATGTACTTGATTTTTGGATTGACAGTAATTATAAAGCAATACAGAACGTACTGTAGAACTATCAGATTATTTTCCACTGTGGGTCACAGGCTGTGTTATTATCAAGCTGCTCCCACCTCTAATAGCAAATATTGTAAACATGGAAAAAGTGGTCAATTTTTAAAAACATAAAATCTTTGAAATTCGTGATATTGGAAGTTGATGCCAAGTTACAAGAAACACGTGGGTAAACCTGACTCACAAGCAGCAAAGAACTATACTTAAAAAGCAAGATGATCCCATTTCACCCCATATATTACATAATTCAATGAAGGCTTTCAAAGCAATTTTAATGATACACTTTATCCTGTGATCCAAATATAGTGTGACTGATACAACCTAAATACAATTTTTGATTATGTCATTTCAAGCATTATGAATAACTTTCTGAAGAATATAAACTATAAAATATACAGAAAATAACAGAAACAGGTGCAGTCAAACACTGCCAGCCAAGATAGTTCCTCTCCTCAGATGCCATGTGCAGTTTTACACAATACCACTAAAAAAATTCAGCTAATTTCTTCCACATCTGGAAAAAAAAATAATTTGATAGCATACACTAAAAAAATGTATAAAATGAAACTAATACAACAGTTTTGGGATGTGCATGCTTTCAATATCTTGAATAATACAAATAAAAACTGTTGGATTCAATATATTCTGTTAGTGTGTGCCACACAATTCGGAAAAAATTGGATGTGCATTTGTTCCCTTTGGCAGCTCTTCTTGAATTGGAAACGTGGTTGAGGGTCTGATTTGGAAAATACCTGAGGATACTGCAATACATGGAATATCACATATCAGGAATCTTTTGTAACAACTTCATAGAGCTCAAGCATTGACAGCTTGTGATTGTTGTTATACCATTAAGTCACATACAGCTTGGTTTCCCTTCTGCGTGCTCAGATTGCTCATGGAAGCCTTTGGCTGTAGCACAAACAGGATGCCGAAACTTTTAAGAAAACAGAGGATAAACCCTTGACAGACTTGTGTGATCTGCGTCAGGAATGCATTACATCTGTTAAAATGAAGAGCTTCTCAACAGGTCCCGTAGCTAAGCGGGTAAGTCACAAGTGCTGAATGTGTAGAAGATCTTAGGTTTGAGAAACAGAATATTTTATTTGTCCTCTTTGTGGAGGTAAATGTCTACTTTAAAACATAAACAAATCTGTTAAAGAATACCAGAGTATTCTTGTTAATTTTGTTGTGGGCACATCTTAAAAATGATAAACAGAGCATATTATGAAACACATATACCATTTCAGAAAAACAGCACACAGCAAATGTATTGGTTCATACAGCAGATACTTCTAATGAGAATGTGTATTTTCAGAAGAAAAATAGTATAATACATATGATTGTAAAGTCCATATACAGTAGCTCATTATACTGTTATAATCTTTGTACCAGTATAATCAGGTATATGAACCACAATCATTTCAATAAACAGTCAAGTTTATTAAATAAGGAACATGTTAAGGAACAAGAACAAGGAACTATCAAACAAGGAACATGGCAATTGAGAGTGTAAGTTACAGTATATTAGATACAGGTTTTCAAAACTAAGGACAAGTGCTCTACTTTGGCACCTTGTTATTTTTCCGGTGAACAGAGTTTTAAAATCATTCTTTCACGTGTGACCTGGAATGGGGCTTTTGGGTGATTTCATTTATCTGGATCAATACCCTAAAACAAGAAAAACTCAAATCTCTTAATTATATATTACTTCTAGTAACTGCAGTTCCTCTACCTTTCTGTAATTTGGCATCATAACTAACATCCTTCTCAATGCGTATCTGGAGTGAGATGCAGGGCTGTGATTTTTTTTTAACTTATTAATGTGTTTCTATTTACAATGCCCCATATAATAAAATGAATCATTACCCATAAATGCACATGGGACAGTGAAAAAAAGTGGAAACCAGTTCTGGTATTTCATACTGTATTTTCTTTACACGTTTTATTCATTTTTTTCCTCAGGATATGGTCACGCAGCCCCCAGCACAGATGGAGGGAAAGTCTTCTGCATGTTCTATGCCCTTCTGGGAATTCCGCTCACGTTGGTGATGTTCCAAAGCTTAGGTGAACGAATCAACACCTTTGTCAGGCACCTCCTGCACCGCATCAAGAAGTGCCTTGGGTTGCGGCAGGCAAATGTCTCCATGGCCAATATGGTGACCATTGGCTTCTTCTCTTGCATCAGCACCCTATGCATTGGTGCAGCTGCTTTCTCCAAATATGAGGACTGGAGCTTTTTTCATGCCTACTACTACTGCTTCATCACGCTCACCACCATTGGTTTTGGAGATTATGTGGCCCTCCAAAAGGATGAAGCCCTACAGAACAACCCAAAGTACGTAGCGTTCAGCTTCATCTACATTCTTATAGGCTTGACTGTCATAGGGGCCTTCCTCAACCTTGTGGTGCTACGCTTCATGACGATGAATGCTGAGGACGAGAAGCGGGATGCGGAGCACCGGGCTTTGCTTACCCGCAACGGGCAGGCCAGCAACATCCACTGTGTCCCAGAACCCCCCGCCTCCACAGTGGGCACCAGCCGTGGACTCCGGAATGTCTATGCTGAGGTGCTTCATTTCCAGTCCATGTGCTCCTGCCTCTGGTTCAAGAGCCGGGAGAAGCTGCAGTACTCCATCCCCATGATCATCCCTAGAGATCTCTCCACCTCCGATTCCTGTGTGGAGCAGGGCGAAGCCTCCCCTGCGCGCTTTACAGATCCGCGCTCTAACGGCTGTGTCTGCAACATGCAGCAGCGGTCTGCTATCAGCTCCGTGTCCACCGGCCTGCACAGCCTCTCAGGTTTTAGGGGTCTCATGAAACGAAGAAGCTCAGTTTAGCCGCTGGAAGGTTTTTCTTTCCCCCTGAAAGAGATTGTAGAGGAAACACTGTTTTAGACTGTTTTTCTTCATTTCAAAACAAATATTTTAGAACCTCAAGAACTGAATCATTTGCACCTTTTGATAGATAGGGTCTTTTGAATGAAATACAGTTTTGCTTTGCTGATAAGTCTTCAAGCACATTAGCTTTAAAACAGCAGTACCAGAGATATAGTAAAGTCAGTTACTGATCCCAGATTTGTGGCTTATAGCTTTGTATTTTGTTTTCTGTCATTCGGTAATCATATCCCTTTCATCCTAATTTACATAATCAGCCCCATCGTCACATTTTGTTGAACTGGAAGTTGGGTAGATATACAGTATGATGAAAAACAGATGACAAATCCAATTTATCAGAGTCAGCTCACAGCAATGACTGTCCTGCATGAGAAAAGAATAAGGATTAAGCATGTTTGTCTAACATGCCCATGTGCTAGAGCCATTACCCTGTGACAGGTGCCTGTCAAGAGAGCTGACTCTGATTAGAGGAGGAGACTGTCTCACAGTGACATCACTACAAGACTGAAGAAGTCTAGCCCCTCGGGGCAGTCACTTCTTTACCAAAAACCAAGAAGACCCTGGCTGATTAATGCTCACTCTAACTTTGCAGCACACTGCCAACTGTGGTGCAGGGGGATCCTGAGGACTGTTGGCTAGGAATCCATGCTAGAAATCCAGGCTTGAACCAGAGATGTCTGGATCATGGAGCTCAATGTGCAGTTGCAGTAAGTGGCTAAAGCTGTATATTCACTCAAGATCCCCCAAGAGAGAAGAACTGCATACTGAAATGTATATATTTCTACAAATGAAACCTTATTTAAAACTATATTCTGTCAATTAGGAAAGAGCCTATTTTTACAGTTAAAAACTCAAACTGAGTCTTAACATCTTGGTACTTATGTCTTAGTCACTGAAGATCTGTTTATGACAAACACTTCACATATTTGAGTACTGTTGACCTGGTAAAACTATTACCTCTTATAGGAAATAGTGTAATTTCTATTCTTATTAAGTTAATGTGTTATGGCCACATGCATTTCTATTGATTGTTTATTTTTACTGCCATAGGCTACAATGTATTACCATGTTTTTTGAGTTTGTTTGCTCTTTGTGTGTAGGCTATTCAATTTTTAAATTAATTGCAGCACTTTAGGATGCTAGATATTTTACAGTATCCATTATAAACAGAATATTTTAATTTATGTTATTTTCTGAAATTGAAACAAAAGCTGTTTCTTACAAAACATTTTGCTTCATTGAAATAAAACAGAAACATTACATTTGTGCATATCTTGTTTTGTGTGTGTTATATATAAGACTGTCTGCAGGTACCCTTTTTATGTGCTACAAAATGGGATTTAGTCATTCATGGTTTTATCATATGTTTAATGATATACAGGGTAGTCTTAAATTGAATGAATAATGTGTTTCATAATAAATGCTGCAGCTTTTTACTTTAAGCCACCTTTTTATACTAAGCATAGGGACTGAACTCAATCTTATTTAAATTGTAACATATAAAATGTTTACATTTTTCCTCTATCTTCTGTAGTTAAAATTGAACTGAATATGAATTATACATTGTAGTAGGTTGGAAAATCTGGTTATTTAAGAGTCTGTTAAATATTTTACTTTTTGTACAACATGCTCATTTTCAATAGCTGTACAAAGGCTGTGATGTCTGGGGCCTAACCAGGTTGGTACAAGATGCAAAGTAGATTTCACAGGGTGTAGATACACAGGGGGCAATAGAGTGACACCAAGCAGACACAAAGTCTATACTGAAAGTCAGGAAGTCCAGTATGGGAAAAAATATCATACATCTATTTGTTTTCTAATTGCTTTATCCAATACTTTGTCATGGGAGAGCTGGAGCTTATCCCACAAGCAATGGGCACAAAGCAGGACAACTCCTTGGTGGAATACCAGTCCATTGCAGACAGACACAAACACACACACAGTCATGCCAGGGTCATTTTTGCCAGGAGAGAATAATCTAGTAGTATGTCTTTGGACTGTAGGAGAAACGTACGCAAATGGAGTAACAATAAAGAAATAGGGTAATGGGTATTTATTCCCTTTAATCTAGCTACAGTACTTAACTCATAAGTATGCAATAAATCCTAACAGGATGTCCCTGTGCAACCAAACACAAACAGTTTTACAGAAAATGGGAATTGCAAATAATATTTAATTGCAAAACATTACTATACTTAAAGCTTAGTATCTACAAGAAAAATGCTTTTTACAAAGCAGAACTCATAAAAAGCACCTGATGCGGATGAGATGGTCAGACTCTTAAAGGAAGCTTAGCAACAGAGGTCGGTTATGCAGATAGAAGCATAAGATGGATTGAAGGTACTGTATGTCAACATACATGTTGCATAGGAACAGGTACAAGCTTAATGCATGTTACGGACTAAGAAGAAAGAAGAATAAACAATGTTTTGGCAGTGGAACCTTCTTCAGGTATGTGGGGGATTGACGGAGAGCAGAAATATGGGGAAAAGGGATGGATGGGACAAACAATTACAACCAAAGAAATGTTAGAATGTGCCAGGGGGTGAGGGTAATGTGAGAAAAAAGGTTAACCTATTGTGATGTGCTTTATTATGATGAGTAAACTCAGATCAAAAGATGAATGCTATATACTGCACATTCTTATTAAACCAGGATAGAGTTTTAAATATCCTATTACCCGAGGGGAAGCCTGACTTCCACAAGCCCCATCTACACAAGAAAACAAAGTATCTGAGCAATATAGCCTGTGAAGTAAATTGAATAATGGTTTTTACTGTACCCTAGTTAGTTTTGCACAGGTCACCAAAACAGACTAAAGATCACAAGGAGTGTTGATTGGACTAAAGTAGTACAAAAAGATTAAATACAATGTACCTTTTAAAAGTGAAAAAACATAAGTCACATAATTATTCTTAAGACAGGATTTACAGTACTTTCAGATGCATCAGTTTTGTACTGTATTTTGCATAATGAGACTACATAATACATGTTTTCTTTAAAAAATATATATTTATGATGCTACCATGGTTCAGCCTAGGACTGAAATATAAAATCCATCAGATGCAATATTTGGGCTTAGATTAAATCAAAACTTCAACCTATAACAAACTGCAAATTACAAGAGCAATAAGTCTCATTGTTCAATAAAAAGGAGCAACCATATTTGTCATCCTTTCCGTCTGCAGACTTGTACCAAGTCTTAATATTTGGCACTTTTCCTCTCAAAGACCACCTTGCATCCTTTCTCCCTTGGCATGTCAGCTCAGTGATGATGACCTTTGTCACCTTTGGGGACCACATCTTCACTTCTGGCCTTAGGGACGTTTGAACAACCTCAGGTAACTGCAGCCTTCCTCCAAGCTCCATCCTAATTTCCCATGATAGAGATTTATGGAAGATAAAGTATTTTACTTTCCTTCACCTCACCCTCTATGACAAATGCAAATTTGTTTGTAGATTCTCCATGAGTTTACTGTTTAATCTGTCTTTCTTTCTCCAGAATGTCCGTACTTGTTATCAAAATCTTGTCACGGTGTCATCTGTACCTCCCTCAGGAAAGTGCTACTCTCCACCGAGCCTGCAATGTGGATCCTTCCTCATACTCCACTTGTACAGGTTTGTTGGTGATGGGAGGGTGTCGTAGACTGCCTGTAGCAGGGAAGAGATCCTAAAGGACTCCAGCCTCCACAGTTTTGTCTAAGTCAATCTTCTTTCAGGAGGATTACAGTTTGTCCATGCTTCCTGTACGGCCAAGTCCACTGGTCTGGACCACTGACCCTCCTCCTCCAGACTCCTCACTTCTTCCTGTACAATGGCTCTTTTTTTCTTTGAGCTGGCTGTTCCCCGCATTTGAAATGAGTGTTGTTCCCAGGCCTTAGTTGCATGTACATGGGTTCCCAAACATGTCTCAGAGTTTTAAAGTTCTCTTTGCTTGGATCACAGAAATAGCAGCTGCCCACATCCTTCCTGATGTAGTGTTGATTCCTGTCCTTCTTATTAGATCTTCTCTGGAGTTTCTGCAGGAAATCTCCAACCTGCATTCTGCCACCTAGAATTCTTCCTCAAGTGAATACAGAGGGATTTGCAGCTATCCCAAATATATATGATGTGAAACTTAGATGGATTCCACTTTCAGTGGTGCTTGCTGATCTGTCTATCCACTCTTTTTACTAGTGTTGTGGGTAACTCATACACTGTCAGCAGCCACAGGAGTCTTGGCAATCACCCGTATTGGAAATGCCACACCTTGAAACCCTTGCTTGCACATGGAAGGTTGCTGTTACCCTTAGATCATTCATGAACTTCCTAAGGACTGGTTGCCAGTTGACTGAATACATATGGGGTCCCTGGGTTTATTCTCCTGCTGTTGTTACTATGAGGTTCATTCCAATGATGAACAAGATAAGAGAGTTTGCACAGCCTGTTAAAATTCCTTTCTCTAATTCTTACCAGTTTGTCATAAACTGTGTTGCCTCAAACAATAACTTAATTTCTCCAAAACAGCTTGAAATCATTTCCTTTCATGGTGTGGAATATGATCCATGCATTAGCCAGGCCCAGCCAAACAACTGTCAGGTCTCCTTTACTGTATTTCACCTCCTTGATCATCTGTCTAAGAAACCTATAGGGCTCCAAGCATCCTGAAAAGCCTGGGCTCCCCTCTTTTTGTTTTGATGTGTCAACATACAGTACCTGTCCTTATTCATGTACTGTATGTTGTCAACCTTGTGGCTAACACTGATAAGATCTTCCCCTCCAGTCTAAGAGATTAGATTGTTCTGAACTGGGCGAAGACAGAGGAGCTCTTCTCCTTGGGAACAAAGCAGCCCCCTGTCCTCTTCCAGTTTGATTTGATGGTCCCCTTCTTCCATATCCTCCAAAATAATATCCATAGCCAGGCAGTTCTTATATCCTTATAGGGGATCCCTCTTCACTCTGGAGTAGACCCCTGATATTGCCTTTCTAACCACCTCTTTGACTTTTTTCCAGGATAGTTAACTAATGTTGAACTCCTTTTGCTCCGCTGATGCATGAGTTCTTTCCTACTGTGTACATTTCTGTAGGTCTGTTTGTGGTATTCTACCACTTCTTTTTTAGAAGACAGTCATGTAACAATCCCAATATTCATCTTCATCCAAATAATTTTTTAATATATTTCAGATATTGTTAGCAGTCTTTGTAAGTCCTCATAGGTGTATCCTTCCAGGAAAGCAAAATGATTTAAAGACTTTGCTTGCCTTTCTAGGCCTAATCATTTTCTTCTTCTACAGTACCATGACAGCCTTTGTCAGCTGATTGCAGCTGTGTGACAGAACATCCCACGACAATCTCTCCAGAGTCTGATCAGGTCTGTATGTCAATACTGCCAGGATTGCTGCAAAAGGTCATACCAAATGATAATTTCTACTGTCCATTTTGACATATTGTCACATTTCATATGGAAAACCTATCATTGTCCTTTGATCTGTCGTGTTGTTCACATTGTCAGCGAAATTGCTTGATACCTATGGTATGTTTAAAATGATCAAACCCAAACAGCAATTATAATATCTGTAATGGTAATAAGAGTATTGGTGGTAGTGATTATAATCATGTATTATAGTACCTTTGAAGGGATTGATGATTAAGCTTTCTATTCATTGTACTATGGTTGTACAGCATCTACTGTATGTGATTAGTGCTAAATAAATGACTCAGGCAGGATAGATTCCACTAGACTGGACTAGGTGAGAAAAAGGAAAGTAGGAGACAAACATCGAGTCTGGTCTTGTTTGCACTGTATATGTTATATACTGTATGTACATTGTATGCAAAAGTATACATTCCAGCTGATAATTATAAATTTATAATTCCTACATACATTCTATTCTCTTTCAGTCTGAAAAGGTTCAGCTTGAATTCAGCTTTAAACGTTTAAAAGTAAGTGCAACATGTATGGAATTCAAAGTACTTGTTCACTTTGGATAATAAACATTCTGTTTTAACATCACAGTGTGAACCCAGATAATACAAAGAAAATCCTATCAAAAATGTTCAAATAGTTTATTTTGTCTTCAAAACAAAAACACAAAGTTAACTCGCTTGATTAATGTATGGAAACAGTACCAATCAGACCTCAGCCAAATAGCCCATTTCTGACTGGAATGATGTTTACTCTCAAACA